CGGGAACCGGTCTGTATGTGGGATCCGAACCCTCGGCGGGCGCCGCGCTCCCAAGCGGCGCACTGTAGCAGTGCGCCACCGGGCCGGCCCCACAAATTTGTTTTTAGTACTCTCTTTCAATTCCTATTAGCATCCTCCAAAACTAGTGTCACACAGAATATATAGTGTCACATTATAATAGATGATAATTAAGATCCTATCCAGCTCTGAAATCTATGACTCTCTCATCAATAGCCTCATGCTTCAGGGCCTCATGTCCTCCATAAAACTGTCTTGTCTATTTTAGATCCTCTCTATTTTCTTTTCTCTACATTCCTGTAACAAATTATTGTCTGTACCACAATTTAACTGATAATTGTATAGCCTGTTTTGTATCGTCTGCTAATTATTTCATGTGTCCTTTTCTCTGTTTCTCTCACTGGAAAGCAAATTCCTTGAGGTGTGAGCCACACAGAAATGAAGGGAACATATTTGTATAGCACTTTATAGTTCACAATGCTCAAACCATCATTATCTCATGTAATTCATACAGCAGTATTGGGAGATGGGCAGGCATTATTATTCCAATTTTAGAGGTGACAAAATGAAGGTACAGAAAATTTCTATTCAGCAAAATAGTTCAGGAATTGCTTAAAGTCAGAAATCTGTCCTCTGAATTCTGCAGTAGTATAATTTGGTGAGTCTTTTAAAGGCAGGATCTAAACTCTAATCCTATGATTCAGCTGTAAAAGTAAATATCCTTCCTAAAACATATTCAGCTTAGAAAACAGCATTTGGTAATAAAAACCTTTTTTTAGGCTCTGACATCATCCGGAGACATTAACATCACTGGGCCTTCCCACTTCTCTTTGAAAATAATTTACATTTCTGTTCTTTATCTCTCCCTAGAGAAGGTAAGATGCAAAATGGCTCCTAAGAATCCTTGCAAACATTGCCAACTGACGTGGTACATGCTACTGCACAGGCTATATGGTCTTCTAATATATGTGGTATATATGCTATTGGCCTAACTTAGGCCTATAGAAAAATTCCATGCCTTAAGGATATAGCTGCTCTGGGTGGTTAAGATCCTGACAGACTGGGTAGAGGGCAGACGGTGTTATAAGATAATACACACTGAAAGTAACGACTGGGGGTAGCAAGCCTCAAAGATGGCCTCCAATGATCCATGCCTGCTGTATTTCAGCCTTTGTGTAGTCCTCTCCCACACTGCACCAAAAGCATCAGGAAAGCAATGACATGGCCATTCTGAGATTAGGCTATCAAAGGCTGTGGCTTCTGTCTTGCTGACTCCACCTCTCTCATACCCCTTGCTCTAGATGAAGCCAACTGCTATGTCATGAGAACACTGAGACAGCCTATAGAGAGACCCCCTGGAGAGAAATGAAGGCCTCTGACCAAGAGCCAGTGAAAAAACTGAGGCCGACCACCAACCATATGAGTGAGCCTGGAAGCAGATCTCTGGCCCCAGCTGAGCACTGAGATGACTGCAACTTCATGAGACCCTGAGCCAGTACCACCCAGCGAAGCTGCTCCTGGATCCCTGACCCTCAGAAACTGTATGAAGTAATGTTTGCTGTTTTAAGCTACTAAACTGTGGGTTAATTTCCTACACAGCAACAGATTACCAACACAGAGGGTGTAAGTCTAGAATTGAGAGAGAGAGGGGAGAACTGGCAGAATAGTAAGTCTAAATATTCTTAGTAAAAGCACAAACTTTTATACCTCGGCATCCTATCTAAGTTCATAATGATGGCATTAAACCACTCGGAAAAATTCACCACACTCTGCTTAAGAAACTAGAGAATATAATGCAGTTTGAAAGACTTAACTTTAAAAAAACAACATTAAATCAAAGTTTAGACATTTTAGAAGACAAGCTGCATTTACCTATTTTCAGAAAAAAAGTGACTATGTGGAACACTAAATTCCCTAATAAATCCTGATAAATGATGCATTTGTCTGGGTACATATATCTGAAATCATCTGACTTTACAGATGATGGGATCTAACTTACAAGGGCCCTTTTTTTTGTCAGTTTTTACCTACCCCATTTAGTTATTTCAAAAAATTTAAATCAAGGTATAATTTACAAGTGAAATACACAGATCATAAGCGTACACTTTGATCAGTTTTGACACATGGGTACAACTGTGTAATCCGCACTCTTATCAAAACACAAGGACACGAAAATCAACTACATCGTATATTAATAAATTTAAAAAAAAAAGACAGAGGGCTCATCAAAAATTATTCTACAGTCCTGTCATTAAAAGGGGTTTTTAATCCCTCAAAACAACAACAAAAAACCCCACATACAAAACATTTCCAACACCTCAGAAAAATCCCCTTCTGTATTCTTAGTCAAACCCTTTGCCAGAATTAACTTTTCTATCACCATAAATTCATTTTCTCCTCAAAAATATAGAATCAGAAAGTATGTCCTGTTTTGCCTGGCTGTTTTTACTAAGCATAAGGATTTTGCAATTCATCCATACACAGCCCTGCATATCAGCAGTTCACAGCTTTTTACTTCTGTGCAGCATTCTTACATGACTATACCAGTTTATTTGCTCTCCCGTTAATGAACATTTGTTGTAGTTTCCAGTCTTTTTTTTGTTATTGTGAATAAAACTGCTACTCTTGCACAAGGCTTTTAGTAGACAAATGTTTTTACTTCTGTTGGTTATATAGCCAGGAGTGGGTCACAGGGGCAATGCATGTTTAACTTTAAAAA